ATGTGAATACAGTAGTTTACCTTAAAAGGGTTTAACAAAACCTTTGAACTTTAAATATAATACATCTCTGGCGAAAAGAAAAAAAAACTTTAGTTGTATATAACAAAGACAGTGTTGTTTAAAAAAAAACAAATGCATGGGGGCAGCTACATGGTACAGGGGATAGAGCACTGGCCCTGGAGTTAGGGGGACCTGAGTTCAAATTTGGCCTCAGACACATAACACTCACTAGCTGTGTGACTCTGGGCAAGTCATTTAACTCCAATTGCCTCACCAAAAACAAGACAAAACAAACAAAAAAAAACACAAATGCATTTTTGATAAATTTTAGTAGCTGCACTATTTCTATAATATGATTATTGGCCTTAGAAGTGAGCCTAGAAGGGCAGCGGTGGGGAGAAACCACCAATAATATATGCAGTACCCACTCACCTACTTGGTGAGGCATCTGAAACAAGGTAGGAGTTTTGGGGTATTTTTTATTACCTGGAAGGGGGGGGTAGCCTAGTGACATTTAAGCAATCTGAAATACCAAAAACAAGTTCTCATTAGAAAGCACCATAGAAACCTGGTGGTTGAGTGAAAACACATTTTCAATGATGGAACTCAACGATAAACAAAACAGGCTCCAAACTAAAGGTAATTAGATTTACTAACAATGGAGTCAATAAACTTTCATAAAGGTCCAGGCCTAAAGAAGTTCTTCTTATACATCAATCCAAAAAGAAAAAATTGTAGGAGCTCCAATATATTTTATCTACACAATGAATTATTAAAGAGTGTCATGTGATTCCTAACTAGCTAAAAGAATGTACTTTCCCAAGGAAAGTTCATCATTATTTTATTTAAAGCTAGATATTTTGGGGCTATTTTTAATCCTAACATTTTGATGCCAAAATTGGTTCTAAGCAGCTGATGTTTAGCTGCTGGAAAATTGATGTCCCTTCACATATCATCTGGCACACTGGCTTGAGAATGCTCTGACTATCCAGTTAATCAGATGCCTCAGTGGCTGTGAACTGCATTCAACTTGGCCGTAGTACTGCTTGGTAACCAAACAATCTGAGTGGAACCAATAAGGGTTGCAGAGAACTAAATTCCCACTCTCCAAAGCACAGCCTCGCAAAAGCTATCTTCAACGAAAATTTGAGATTCTGAAAAAGAGACACTGCTATCTCAGCAAGCATATGGAATGGAAACAATAAGAACCCTATAGAATGATCTTCATCCTCTAATTAATTACTACGCTATGGTAAGACACCAAGCTGAATGTCTTCTCACTTCACGGCAGTATCAGAAGTGTAACAGTTTGCACTGACCATCAGCTGCCTATATTAGTAACACTTAACTTGTAAGAGCTCCTTTGTCCCTAAGTAAAGTCCCAGAGCCCCCGTAGCCATTTAGAAAATCAGACTGGCAGGATGATAAAATAATGGTTAACAGGGTCATTAAAAGAGCTAAACCATCTGACCGTCACTGGGGCAACTCCTTTGAAATTTTAACACTTAAACAGAAATGTTAACTTACCTGAAATGGACCACTGATGCCCATGCAAATTGCTTTGGTACCCTGGGAAACACAGATGATTAGATAGGCCTGACTACCTTGAGAATGGCCTCTTTTTTTCTCTCCACTTCTAATTTACTTCTTCCCAGGATTAGACTACCCCAGTGGGCATTCAGGAATTTATCCAGGCACCTGAACTTTTGGGATGGTTGTCAGGAGAGCAGGAATGGTCAATTACAAAGTGCAACCTCTCCCAACATCTCATTTTCTCCCCCTTCTCTCCCAGTATCTCTCATAGAAAATCTACTCAATAACCTTCTATTTTAGAAAACTTCCTCACTTAACTACTAACCCAACATAGTCTAACCTTGCTCTGTGATTTTCAAGATGTCACAGAACACCTTCTTCAGATTTAAGAATATCAGGCTTCGACCCTTTAGCTTTGATTTTGTCTGTAAATGTCACGATGATCTATAAGAGGTGTGACATTCCGTGCCAAATCCATGATTTCCCAAACAGGTAATATATTTTTCGCCTTTAGTTAAGTGCCCAAGGCTCAGACGCTCTAGAAAGTTTGTTTGGTGTCAAAAAGTTACGTTGTATCCAAAGCAACAAAATCCCACAAGTTTAGGCTAACCTACTAATAAAGCAGTTTAAAAACTGATTTATTAAGTCCTGGGAAAACTGCAGATTGAAAATGATCAGCTTTTAAAGAGGTTAGTATCGCAGTATATTACCTCAGATGTAGAGTGCCCTCAGAGGGTATATAATCCAAGCCTCTCATTTTACAGGTGGAGAAACTGAGGTCTAAGGAAGTTAAGTGACTTGCCTAAGGTGACACAGATGACTTAAGTGAATGTCAAATGATTACTTCTTTTGTGCCACTAAAATACTAAATTAAAAATACAAAATGATAATGCAAACAAGTTGGAAATGATAATGCAAACAATAATAAACAATAAACTGAGTTGTATGTGGCTTATTCTTAAATCTGAATAAGCTGTTGTATGACATTTTGAGAAAGGCAGAACAAGGTTAGATTACATTGGATTAGCAGTAAATGAGAAAGTATTCTAAAATAGAAGGTTATGGGTAGATTTTCTATGAGAGATCATGCTACTGGGAGAGAGGGGGGAGAGAATGAAATGTAGGGAAAGGTTGCACTTTGCAATTGGCCATTCTTGCTTAATACTTTAAATATTTTAATTCCTTAAACAAAGATCCCACATGTCACAATTTTTATTCAGTAACTCCCACCACTTATCATTTCCATACATTGTGACTTTTTTTTTCAATAAACCCTTTAGTTTTCCTTGAAATCACCAAACTGTTTCCTTCTGAAAGCTAGCAAAATGCCTGCTTTAAGCCATTTGTGATTTTATTTTAGCTAACAAAGTTTGGTCACAACTTGCCTTCACTATCTTGGGGCTTTTCACTGTATGTATGTTTTAACATCATAAATGTAGTCACTGTCAATCTTAAATACCTGTGGACCATGAAAAGATGTGAAAACTTGATAGCTCTTTCTCCCCTCCAGACCAAAAAGTGTCTTCATTAAAAACACAGATTCACAAGCATATGATTTGACTGTCATAGGATTTAAAGCTGGTAAGAACCTGAGAGCCAAAGTTCTCATTTTACAGCAGAGAGAATTGAGGCTCTGAGAGGTGAAGATTTGCTCAAGGTCACAGGGAGGGAAAGAGCAGAATATGCTATAACTAAACTGCAAAGATAAATGTTATGATTTAGCAACCATCTCTAAATGTATGTTCTTTTTACCACTTTTATTAATAAATTAGTTGATGGATGCCAATTGCCATCTGGGCTTTCTCCCACTTGATGGGAGGGTTTGACAGTATATTCTCAGCAATTCCTAGTTTGGTTTTAGTTGTGAGATGATCCTTTTGGAGACCACAAGTCCTAACAATAAATACTCTTTGGCATTGGCTATGAAAAAATAAACCTAGCTTCTTGACATAACATGTTTAACTATAGTTCAGAGAAACTGTGCTTTCAGTGATAAACCTTTTGTTTTCATAATTGATGTCTATTTTTTTTAAAGCACACACATATACACACAAACCACATTGTATAATTCTTCCAAAAAGCCAAAAATCTAACTAAATGGGAGTTAGCTTAAGAATAAATTTGCCCCATGTAGTAGATGTAAGCTAATTATGCAAATCTAGTTAATTTCATTTTTAAATACAAAGATGTCTTAATATTTGTGCCATTTTCATTTTACAGTCCTTCTCTCCCTTACACAAATGATTAGCATACTTTGCAATAAAATATTAAATACTCTGCATAAATTATATGTGCATGTACAAACATCTGTGCATTGTGGATGTGTGCATAAAATTTCACTTTCAGTCATCCCTAGGCCTTTTTCTGTTCTCAGGTCTTATAGAGCAATATTAATAGTTCTCCCAAGGATAAAAGGAGAGGGGAGCATCTTCTAAGGTGATCTTTCAGGTCCCCAGAAACATAGAAAAGGATTCTTTAATTAAAACTCAGAACAAGAAGCTTTATTTGTCTACCATAAGTGAAATTTGGATACAAAAGTTCTGCACTTCAAATGAGCCCTGAGATTCCAGGTCGGAATTTAGTTCTGAATCTTATTCAAGTTTCAATGACATGGTCAAGTCACTGTCAGCAAGTTCTGGATTAGAATGCCAATTTGACAAAATGGACAAAGCATTTATTTAGCCTATCAGAAAGAGTATTTCTGCCTAGCAGAATAGTTCATCAAAAGAAACAGGTGTTATGTGCTGAACAGAATCTAAAATTCTAAAACAAAGCCTTAGGGTTAACCAGTTATACAAATAAAATGCAAAGTATTTCACCACCAGAACTGAGTCATTAATATCCTGAAGTTCTTTCCTGAATACACTGTTGTACACTTCAATCTCCTTACATGTGGACAAGTCCCATAATCATGTAACAAATTACACACATCTCACAGTCCTGTTTGTTACAAGTTTGAGCCAATGGAACTTCTGGAATGTGAGCTTCCTGCTTTAAAATGTACTCTGAAGTTTTTTTTCTTTTTTTCCAGGGAAAAAGGCATCCCACATTTTCTCTCCTTAGATTATACATTTAATAGTGAATCAGTATAGGGTATAGAAACTGAAGGAGGCATTCCCTGGTACTCTAGTGAAGTTTAATCCCCACAAAGTGATAGGTTGAGCCCCATAACCTTTATCAAGGATAACTTATCAGAAGCCACTACAAGTTGGCAAATGCTTCACCTGCAGCAATACTCTGAAACCATGTTGATGGAAAGGGGTCATCCAGTGGGGTGTGAAAGGGGAGGGGGGGAAGAAAAGTAAAGGAAAACATAGGGAAAACCTTTGCTCCCACCTTGAAGGGCTTAGCTGCCCTCATCTTTGGCAGGGCAGTGACCACACACTGCAGGGACAGCATCCAGGGACAAGCCTGTGATACAGACGCTCACACTCACAGCGAACAAGACATGCAGCCCAGACACCTACCCATCCTCCATTATCTTGGATCCAGTTGTGCAGGTGCCGGTTCAGGTACTCAGTCATCCACAGGGCAATGCTGTCCACCAGGGGCGACATCTCCCGGTTGACGCTCTCCACACACATAACACCACCAAATTCAAAGAAGGCCACGATCCGCCCCCAGTTCACCCCCATCCCTGAACAGCTCCTCCACTACTGTGGCAAAGCGTCCCCTAGCAGTAACAGGGGTCAGGTGCAGCTGACCTGACATTTCATCAAAGTCTCTCCGGTACCTTCGTGAGAAATCATCTCCAGCTTGACGAAGGGTCAGGTGGACCACAGGTGGCACTGGACTGACAGCAGGTCCAGCGGCAACAGTAGCAGCAGCAACGGCAGGAGGAGGAGGCAAAGGTGAGTTTCTAGCAGCAGCAGTCGTAGAAGTGGCCAAGTCCTGGGGTTCAGCAGGCAGAGGTGTATGTCTTGGCTGGTTAGAGAAGATCCCAACAGCAGGGGCAGAAGCAACAACAGGAGGAAGACTTGGAGAGGCTGGTGCCCTCAGATCTCCAGCATCCCACTCGTACCCTCTCTGTGACAACTTATAATGAATGTATTTCATCACTATCTCCCGATTATCGTACCCTCTTCTTCCAGGGTGAGCCATCGTTCCCAAAGAAGGGAGTAGTGAATACAAGGGAAGCAGCCAAATGGTGACAACACCCACCTCTTATTCCCTCTCCCACCCACACCCCCCAAAATACAGAATAATAATTATAATCCAGTTATTTTATTGGATGTGCTTTTCATTTCTTGTCTCTGGGGGAGTCTTGTCTCTGAAATATTTTATTCTTCCTGGTGTTTCCCCCTTGGTATGAGATGCACAGTATTTTTATGATTTAAATTCCTTTTTGTATCTTTTTTATTTCATGAGGCACGCTATTGTTATTATTTAGATTATTTTATTCTATTTTCCTCGGTGATGCTGAAAGGTAAAAAAAAACAACTCATACTGAGTCAAAATCAGGTGCATTTTTGATACTCTAAGTGAATGTGGTTCTAACTACCACTACTGTTACACATTATACAACTTATAAGAATTTAGTAGCCTTGGAATCAAACATACTCTAATGCACTTTTAGGTAAAACCTCAAAGGTCTATTAAAAGTTATATAAAGTAATTTTTCCTGTGCAAAGAACTTACTTGTATTCTAAGTACTGTATGCTCCTCTGTCAAGTTTCCTTTTTGTGAAAACAGAACAAGCTCATAAGGGGTGAAAAAATCCCACAAATCTTCAGGACTTTCAAGTTATATTTGCTTTGAAACTTCCAAATGAATCAGGAGTTGGAAAAAATTAGAAGGATTTCCAAATTAATTCCCAGACTTCTGTTTCAGACATCTCCAAAGAAATGTCAAACCCTAGAAACCCCAATCGGAGAATCCAGGAGCAAAAAGGAGGGGGGGAAAAGAAAGAAAGAAAAAGGCAGCGGCGGCGGCAGCAGCAGATGAATTACAATTTTCAATCCAGTATTTTGCAGAAGTCCTGTGGTTTTCCCTGTACAATTTACACACGCACACACGCGCGCGCGTACAGGCATTGATCTCTATTCCAATGACTGCTTCACGTCTCCATTTAAAAGAGAGAGGAGAGGAGGAGGGGAAAAAAAAAAGATGGAAGAGGGAAAAAAAAATCCCCTTCTGATTAAACTCCGGACAGAAAAGACATTTTCCAAAAAGCTGCTTGATAAATGAAGGCAGAAAGCGTAGACACCACCGTGTGCTCCACGAGAGGAGACCTCGCTGTGTGTGGTGGTGCTGGTGAAGGGGTGTGGGTAAAGCCGTGAGGGGAGGGTTTTATTTTTCCCTCCTTTCCTAAAAAGGATGACTGCTACGAAGTTCTCCCCTCCAAACCCCCTCTTCCGCTGCACCCCACCGGGGCACCCTCCGCTGTCGCACACCCTTTCTCCTCTTCCACCACCTCCACCTCCACCTCCACCACCAGCACCGGCACCTCCCCCCTCCTCGCCTCCTCCTGGCCTCCTCCACCACCTCCACCCCTGTGCAGCGAAGTCAGGGCTGGGGTGACTGAGTCGGCTGTGTGCGCCGCCGGCGGGGAGGTCCTGGCGGCTAATGCACATTCACTTGTAGCAGCAGCGGCGGCAACGGCGGCGGCGGCAGCGGCGGCGGCGGCAGCGGCGGCAGCAGCAGCAGCAGCGCCACAGGGAGAGTTCGGTGCAGCTGCAGCGGGGCAGACAGAGAGGGATGGGGAGGGGGGGCGGGGAGGGCGGGGGTGGAAGGAGAAGAAGAGAACTGGGGGAAGGGGGCGGGGGTATATTCTGGCCTCTTACTTCATTCTCCTCACTAACCAACTGGTTTCCTGTGGGGGCTACGTCACTGTTCATTCAAAAAAAAGAAGAAAGAAACCCTCCTCCTTCCCCGACTCCCCTCCCCCCCACTCCTCCAGCTTCCCCTTCCCCAATTAAAGGGACAGCGACGAGGCTGGGATCAGGGAGCCCAGCGTCCTTGGGAGAGGGTGGGGTGGGGGTGCCAGCCGCGAGTGCACTGGGCGGGGCGGGGGGAGGTGTGGCCGTGTCATCCCCACCCACCCCCCACCCCCGGGGCCATCCCCGTCCCATTCTCTCCCCGCCCCCACCACCCCCACAGGGTGAGGCGGGTTGGGCTAGGAAAGGGGGAGGGGGCCGGGGTGGGCCGAGTGCTCGCCCGCCCAAGACTTGCTGGTGGGTGGCACTGTTGGAGGGAGGTGGGGTGCCGCCCCTCGAGCTGAGTGCATTCCCCCCGGCCCTGCCCGGCCGAGCTCCGGCTCTCTTTCGGTTCCCTCCCGCTGCTGGCGCGCGCGGGGCCTGGCCCCGGGAGCCCGACGGGCCCGCCGGGGACGGGGGAGAGGCGACCGCGCGGACGGCGACGGCCTCGGGAGCCTCCTGGGCCGGGCAGGAGCTGGCCGCCTCCGCGCATTACATAATGGCCTCGCCGCTCCGGGGGCACCGGGCTCTCCGCGCCTTAGCCGGGGAAAGCGGGGAGGGCAGCGCTCCCGTCCCAGATGCCAGGCTGGAAGGGGAGGGGGGGCAGCGCGGGAAGGCGGGGGCGGCAGGAAAATGACAAAAACAACTTAACCGGAGAAAAACCCATGCAAACAACTACAGAAAACAGAGCGGTTGGCTGGGTTGGTGTACTGTGAACAAAATAATCATGAAAGGGGAGAAAACATAAGACAGCTGCAGGTCTGGGAAAATCAATTCTATTAAAAAAAAAAGTCGCCTTCATGCCGCCAGACGGTCTGGATTTCGCTGCCAGCCTCCTGCAAGGGGGACCCTGGCTCAGGCCGCGGGCTGGGCTGGCCTGCCCCCCACTCTGCTGGCGCGCGCCCTGCGCAAAGCAGGGGAGTTTGACTCAGGACTGGCCATCAGGCCTCTCCGCAGGCGTGTTTACTTTGCAATTGCTTCCATGAGCCCCTCGGAGCCTTCACCTCCGAAACTATTTCTCAAATGATGCTGAATGTAGTTGTCTGTGTGTGCTGTGTGTATGTAACTGTGTGTACCTGGGATAGGGGGTGTGGTAAGAAAGGAATGTTTCGGGGGGAGCTTATAATGATTTTTTAAGTATATATTCTTCCCCCTCTCTTCATCTTTTACCTCTTTCTCAGAAGTTTGACCGGGAGTTAGCTCTGGAGGGTCCAGGAGCTGGTGGCCCTGGAGCATTTAGGGAGACAGTCCTGGAACCTTAGGGTACCTTCCCCCCAAAAAGTGTATCCGACGGGAGATAGTATATTTGACAAAGCTCGCCCTATTCCCTAGGCCAGCTACTAACAATAGTTGTCAGGTAATATAGCAATTTACATACATTATCTCATTTGAATCTTGCTGTAGGTGTTAATTATCTCCATTTTATACCAGAGGCCTAGAGACTTGTGAAACTTAGAGACCCAGCGGGGGCGGGAAGGTGTGGATGCGTCATCCCCACCCACAGGACCATTCTGGCCTCCCACCCCCAGACGAGAAGAAGCGGGCTGCCCTTGTTCATACAAGCTAGTGTCAGAAGCGATTAAAGAGCCCAGGCTTGTAGACTCTCAAGTGCCATCCCGCCACAGAGCCAGCGTGTTCGCGGTTTTCTTAAATAAGGACTAGCTGTGTGAGCCTGGGCGAGTTGCTTAACCTGTCGGTTACCCAGAAAATTCTAAAACTATAGATTGTAAAGTTGTATTGATAAAGGGAGCTGTGTCACTGAGAATTCCCTTCACCAGGAAATAAAAAATTATCATCAAAAATTGTATTTATCAATATTAAGGGAGGCAGCCTGGTACAGAGAGAAGAGTAGTGGCTCAGGAGTTAGGGAACCTGGGTTCAAATCCCACTTCTGATTTTAACCCCCCTGGATTTCAGTTTCCTCATCTCAAAAAAAAAAAGTAAATGGGTTGGTTGGATTAGATGGACTTTGGAGACCCAGACCCTATTAAATATAAAGGTGAGAAGATAAAGAGCTGTGAACTGACTTGGGGGTGAGAAATCTGATATTCTAATTTGATCTCTGTTGCTAATTAGTTGTGTAAATTTAGGCAAGTTACAACCTCCTTGGGCATCAGTTTCCTTATCAGTAAAATGAATATCTTGGACTGATTACGTTTCCTTTCCAATTCTAATACTGTGACTTATGAGAGCAGTTCCAAACTTTTTCAAGTATTAAGGCTTTTTTTTAAACATGAAATTCTGCAGGGCCCCATGAAAGCAGTTATATTATTCTAATGTGTTGCTTGATAAACTATTGACAAAAAGCTACTAGGAATGCAAACACATTTAGATTCATTTATATTTTATTCACCCCTTGAATCGTATGTATACAAATATATTTGAAAAATAGTAATGCATCTACAGAAAACATTATTTAGTATGCTTCAGATTTTGTTAGAGCTAAAGGAAGAACAAGATGACAATGCATTAAGTCATATTGATCTTCAGATCATTTGCAATAACTCCTTGACCTGTGGCCCATATGTCTGGAACTACCAATCTATGACCTAGGAGCAGCTTCCAGGAGGAGAGGACAAAGAGGTAATCGTTTATTTTATTAGCAACTTCATCAATTACTTGTGTTTGGACATTTTTATTTTTGAGAGTCTGATAGATTGTATTTAAAAACAACAACACAAAACCCAAACCTCAAATGAACTAAAATCATAGTAATTTGCTAAATAGTATCTTATAAAAGCAAATTGCACAATGAGTAAGGTAAAGTGAGAAGCTTAGGACAGATGCATATATCTTCGTATTCATATTATAAAGCACAAGAAGAAATAAAGTGATGAGAATACATGCCGAATTAAAGAATAATTTCAACCCATGACCAAATTAATGAACTTTTTCTTAATATAGACAGCCTTGAAAATATGAACAATAAAACATATAAACTGGTGACAATGATGGGAATCCCTTCTTTCCACTATTCCTCAATGCCAGGGAACTCCCACCCACACCCCCAAAATCCTCTTCCTTACCAACTGCTCTTCAGAATAAGGAAAAATATGAATCCTCTCTCAAGGTATGTCGGGAAGGAAGGGGAGGGAATAGGGAAGGGAGGAGATAAGTTCCTAGCCTTGCAAGTTCCCAGTTTGACCTCTGGATACATTTTCTAGTAGAAACAATGAAGAACTTTTAGAAACAATGAGGCAGTCTTATGAGTTAAATTATCTTCTTCTGGTCAACCTGGGAAACTAACTTTCCCTATTTATGACATTGGTAAAATGGAGGGGGGAAGGGAAATGTGTTCTGAGTTCCAAATAGTTATTAAGGAAGGGAATAAACATTTACGTAGCATCTACGATGTGCCAGACATTGTGCTAAGCACTTCACAAATATGATCTCATTTGACTTATAACTCACAGTTACAATGCACTTTCCTTACAACAACTTTGTGAGGTTGTTAGTGCAATATTATTTTCCCCATTTTATAAATGAGGAAACTGAGGCTCCAAAGAGGTTGTCACAAGTCCAAGGTAACATAGTTAAGTATTGGAGAAGGATTCAAACCCAGATCTTGTAACTCTAAGGCCAATACTACCTCTATAATGCTATGATGATTTACATATTTCTGAAACATATTGTTTCTAAGCTTGATGCCTTTATGTTGACTCTTCTCCATGGCTGACTTGGATGAGTAAATGACCTATTTGAGCTATTAAGCATTGAGTGATTTCTTTGGATTAAAATTTACTTTTGAATCAACAGGCTATTCATTGGTTAAAATTTACTTTTGAGTCAACAGGCTATTCATTAATTCATTAGAATTCAAAGCTGATAGTTTCAATAACCCATAGAGAAGTAACAGGTACCATTTAGACTAGGAATATGACTGCCCTCCTTAATCAGTATTCTCTCATAATGAGTTCTTTAGAAGATATTCATTAAGTAGTTCTGCTGTTCTCTTTAAACATACTCAACTTTGTGTCATGTCACGATAGTGATACAGAATATGAGTTCCCTAAGTTTACACTGTTACTGCATTTAACTTGAGAAATCCCTCATGGGGATGTGTACTCTTACCCCAAAGCCAGAATATTCTGAGCAATTTTCACAATCCTTTTCATCACCCTGTGATCAAAAGACAAGGAAAAGGATATATATTTAAGTACAATTAATTCCATTCTCAAGTCCCAATCAGCCTAAGACAAAAAGTAAGGTGAAAATCCATTGCTTTTTTTTTTGTTAGTTTACAGGCTCAAATATTTTAAAAGATTTTTTAAAAACAAGGATATTTGAAGGAAGGGTGAAGTTACTCATATTACATTTAATGCTACCTGGTGTTGTGTATTCATGAAAACAGATATGGAAATGATAAAATCACTTTAATTTCATTCCCAAACTCATGCCATCAGTTTTTTCTTAGGCTCAAAAAATACCTTTCACCATTATTTTCATCACACTCTTTATACTTTTGTCATGTTCTTGCTCCAATGTCTTCTTTTCACCAAACTAGAACGTGTCCTTCCATCTTCTAAACTCATTTTTATCTTGAATCTGAACACATAAATGTAATTAAAACACCTTTTTTGTTTATCAAATCTTCAGGACTCCCCTAAATTCAGACAAAATTCAAGAGACCTTTTGTAATGATAATTCAGCTGTTAACGGTATTGGAAAAAATTAAGAACAGAGAGTTATAATCCTTACTTCTACTAACTTCTACTAAATCTTCAGGACTCCCCTAAATTCAGACAAAAGTCAAGAGACCTTTTGTAAT